GCTTGCGTTTTAATACGTTTAAAAATATGGATGCTAATTTTCGAGAAGATTTACTTGTATTTGTTATCTCAGGATACTGATATTTTTCTCAGTATAAATAATTTCGTATAAACATTAAAAAATCACCACTTTTCATTACGGTAAAGTGACTTAAGCCACTTTCAAAATAAACGGCTCATATATTATATATATTTTTATAGAATATTTATTTATATAATAAATATTATGTATGTATTTTTATAGAATATTTATTTGTACAATAAATTTTATATATGTATTTTTATATAATATTTATGTATATAATATTTTATATAGTATTTTATATTTATATACAGGCTAATAGAATTTGATATCGACTTAAAGGAACGTTATAACCTAAACAGCAAAAAAAAGATGCAACTCCGTGCAACAACAATTTTCATTTTGCACAAAGATCCTGTTTGTTGCAAATATATTCGTAAAATTGTTTCCGTTCGCGTGTTCGTAGATCTGGCGCGCCACTTCATGAGATTGACGGAGCCGAGGGTGGTTTTCGCGAACGAAAGATCGACGGGGGTTGTGCTGGACGCGGCGAAGATCGAGGGGTTTGAGCCGAAGATGGTCACGTTCGGCGATTATGCCGGCAGCCTGTCTTTTGCGGACATTCTGGAGGGTCACCCGCGATCCGCTATGACGAGTTTCCGTTGCGAGAACGTCGAACTCGGCGATACGGCGCTGATACTCTTCTCTTCCGGCACCACCGGTTTGCCGAAGGGCGTCGAGCTGTCCCACAGAATGATCCTCTTGAACTTGGTGGACAATGCAGCGGTGCATCTGACTGTGATGGCGACGCCGTTGTGGTTCAGCACCCTGTGCTGGATCAGCGGCATTCTGTGCAACCTTAAGATCTTCTCCACCTCTGCGAGGAAGATAATCGGGCCGGATTTCGAGCCGCAGAAGGTGTGTGAGCTTGTGGAGAAGTATAAGGTATTATTATTTATTTTTATTTATTTATTTGTTCTCCATTAATTCTTGTTTTTCGGTTTTGAATGGCTTGCGGTTTACGTACTTTTCTGATATGATTGATAAAAGGGGAACAAAGAACTATAAATTATAATATTCTTGTAATAATGTATGATCTACACTAATTTATAACAATTTATAATAATATTACTGATTAACGGTAATGTATAATAATATAAGTAATTCATAATAATGTATACTAATATAAAGTAATTTTTAATAATGTATACTAATATAAACTAATTTATAATAATTTATAATAATATAAACTAATTTATAATAATGTATACTAATATAAAATAATTTATAATAATTTATGATAATATAAACTAATTTATAATAATGTATACTAATATAAACTAATTTATAATAATGTATACTAATATAAACCAATTTATAACAATTTATAATAATATAACTAATTTACAATAATTCATAATAATGTATAATAATATAACTACTTTATAATAGTTTATAATAACTGACGAATTATAATCGTTAATCATTAATCGGATCACTTTTTTTTTAAACTCGCTTTACATATAATTAAGATTTCTTTATATTAAATATAATTACTTAATTAAACATAATTAAATATAATTCTTTTTATTAAGATTCTTTACCTGTCACTGAGCTTAGATCGTGTCGTAGGTCACGTGGTTATTTCTGAGCACAAGCATGGCGAATCGGTTGGTCAGATACGAGGACTTACAAAAGTACGACCTCTCCAGCTTGAAATGTCTGTTCGTGGGTGGTGCCATCTTGAAGCAGGAATCTCAGGACATGTTGCGAGAGTATCTGCCGCATGCACTAGTGGCACAAGGTTACGGTAAATATCGCATTGCAAAACGTAGAGCAAAATCAGCTTCTCGTATGAGGACTATAGGCGGCTCTGTATTTACGTTCCCCCTCTTACTAGCTGCGGCAGTGGAGCAGCTAGGAAGGAGAATATGTGAACGCGAAGGCGTCTTTTTGTCGCGCGAGGACTATAGGCACTCTGTTTTTATATCCCCCCTCCCACTAGCTGCCGCACTGCTGCGGCTAGGAGGAGAAATATGTGAACGCAAAGGCTTCTTCTTCTCGCGCGAGAACTATAGGTGACTCTGCGCTTACATTCCCCCACCCACTAGCTGTCTCACTGCCGTAGCTAAGATGGGGAATATGTAAACGCAAAGGCGCCTTCTTCTCGCGCGAAGATTATAGGCACTCTGTTTTTACATTCCCCCTCCCACTAGCTTCCCCCCTTCTCCAGCAAGGAGGGGCAATACGTCAACGCAAAGCTTCCTTCTTCTCGCTAGGGAACGATAACAAATGCGCGAATCTTACTGTTTCAAAAAATAGAATCCAATCAAACAAATTAAAATTAAACTTTTATTTCAGGCATGACGGAATTGGGGGGCGCCGTTGCATCTCAAAATCCAAAGAGTACCAGCGGTTCCTGCGGAACGGTGTCCATCAATTGTGAAATGAAAATCGTGGACGTTCAAACGGGGAAAAGTCTGGGCCCGAATCAGCAGGGTGAACTATGCGTGAAATCGTCCACCATAATGAACGGATATCACAAAAATTCGACGGCGACGAAGGAGATCTTGGACAAAGACGGTAAGTAAAAAGGTTAAATTATTATAATAGTTGAACAACCCCTTGACGCACCTGCTGCCCCTCCGAATAGAAATTTCTTTCGTCCTCTAATTTGAGGGTGTATTCAACAACGGAATTGCGAACACGAATGTGTTCAGAATACAATAATGTCTCCCTAACTGACGCTCAGATTGCGCAAAAAAATGGACAATTTGGGAAGAGGAGATTCGAGAGGCTCGAATAATCGTATCCCCTCTTCCCAAATTGTTCATTTTTGTGCTCAATCTGGGCATCAATTAGGGAGACATTACTATAAAAATTATGAAATAATCGAATCTCTTCGCGCTTCCCGAATAATATGAATTGACCGACGACGATCTTCGTCGCCGTTCTCGGCCAATAGCGATCGAGTGCCGCGACAGTGGGGCAGCTAAAGAAATGTGGGGGTGGGGGGAATATAAGTGCAAAGGCGCCTTGTTGTCGCGCGAGGACTATACGTTGTTCCGCGTACAGTAATGTCTCCCTTACTGACGCTCAGATCGTCCACTAAATATGAGGCTTGCGGCTCATTTTTATAATTGTGGACAATTTATAACTAGAAAAATAAACCGCAAGGCTCAAATAATCGTATCTCCTCTTCCCAAATTGTCCATTTTTATGGACAATCCGAGCGTCAATTTATTAGAGACATTACTGTAGATAGAATTTGATTTGAATTTTAGGTTGGATACACACGGGCGATCTTGCCTATTATAACGACCAGGGTGAGATGTTCATCGTCGACAGAATAAAGGAGATCGTAAAATACAGAGGATATCAAATAACGCCGAGCGTGATCGAAGATCTGTTACAAACGCATCCGGGCGTCGTCGAAGTTGCAGTTGTCGGCGTTCCCCATCCTACGGACGACGAACACCTCGTTGCTTTCGTCTGCAAAGCGGCTGATACGGAAGTACGATTCGTTCGTTAACTGTGACGTTATTATAAACTGTAATATTTTATATTATTGGTAATATTCTAATATACAATTATTGTTCGGAGAGAGAAAGATTCGAGCACGGAAATATTTTCGAGAAAATTTGACCGACTTCGACCGACGATAACTCCGCGAAAAATCATCGTAGGACGATGACGTTTCTTTTAAATTAAAGCTTAAAATCTCTGCTTCGAGAGTTCGAAGTTCGTCGCCGCTGTAACCCTTTAAATGTGAGGCCATGTTTGTCACGGTGAAAAATTGTCACGTCAAAAATTTGACAACTTTGACGAAATGTGACGACTTTGTAAAATTTGTTTCAGAGATGATGTTTACGGTAGGATAAAGCTTGATTCTTTCCCTTTCATTTAAAAAAAAGGAAACTCGGCTGCGATTTTTTTTCGTGAAGTTACTGCACTTTAATGTCGCCCTTGCATGTATCTATTTTAAATTATATTATATATGTTATGTGTGTGTGTGTGTGATATTATATATATTTATATATTATATATTATTATATATATTATATAATATTATATATATATATATATATTTATATATTATATATTATAGTATATAGATATAGATATACTATAATAAAAATCTACGTTATTACAGTATACTTTGTTTTATTATTAGAACTGATAATCCAATGATTCATTCTAATTATTTCTCTAATTCGCAGGTGTCCGCTAACGAGTTGATTGCAAAGGTCGAGAATAATTTTGTGGACGCTTATAGGCTACGCGGGGGCGTGAAATTTCTGTCAGCACTTCCGTACACCGCCACTGGTAAAATAGCGAGAGCACAACTCAGAAACATCGCAAAGTCATTGGCAGTTCATTGAATTGTCGCGCACTGGTTTCCCAGGATCAGGCTGGCAATCAAATGTTAAAGGACCAAATGATAACGCGTATTTGTTATAGTTCGTAAAAATTGCGATAACGATAGCAAACGCTACGATAATGATAGCAAATATTTTTAATTGTGTACGTAATGAAGCGAATGAAATTTCTGAGAAACTC